GAGTGCGATATCGAAAGGGAGGAGTGAGGATATAGCGAATATGCGGAAAAAATGATAATGAGTTCGATGCTTAGGGCGATGGATAGTCGTGAGTTGTCTTCTACGTGTTGGGATGGGGAGATTGGATGGATGTGTTGAGGTGAGTGTTTTGATGGCGTATTTGGGAGGCAAAGAGGGAGGTATTATGACAATTATATCTATTTTGGTTGGTAAACAATCTGTTATAGTATGGTGCGGTCATGCGCAACGCTGAGCGGCGTAACAGCCGAACCATATCCCCTCCTCACCATCCCAAGGAAACGCTGAAACCCAACAGTAACATTGCTGTTTTTTGCTTATATAGGCCGCCACCCCAGCCATAGTAAGGGCAAGGAGACCCGTGGTTGTTGCCCAGCCCAACCGATCAATGTAGTTAAATCCATTCCCTAGAGACCACCACTCCAACGCCGAGCCAATGCGATAAAGTACCAAAATCACCACCCTCTCCCATCACCATTTCAAACCATAAACCCCCCCTTCAGCGCTTCATATGGCTGTAATCCTTCAACAAGTGCTCCATATGCGTATTCGTCGACTTGCCCGACTTCCGCTGCACCCTCTTCTTCTTCTTGTCCTGCTTCGGCGCCTGGCTCGCCTTAATACGCGGGTCTTCCGACGCCGGCTTCTGCTGGGCGGCGACCAGCTTGGGCACGATGTTCTCAATGCTAGGCAGCTCGACACGAGCCCACAGCAATTTCAACTGCGGCTCAACTTCGTGGAACAGACTCGAATCATCCAGCCACACCATCTTGGCCGCCCCATCCTTCTTGGCCCGCACCACCAGCACCTTATGCTCCGACTCCAGCTCCGTAATCGCCGCCTCGCACTCGGGCCAGCCGTCCTTCAGATCTTTGACCGACACACCGCTCGCGTCCGTCTTCTTCTGCAGATAGGCCAGCAGCTGGGTCTTGGTGCGGACGTCGGGGATGGCGGGACGGTGGACGTAGGTGCCGGAGCGCCATGTCTGCTCGCTGAGGGCCGGGTCGGGAATCCACTGGATCTGCGGGTGGCGGCGCATCTGGTCGACAAAGAACTCCTGCTCCTTCTCCGGGCGGGCGGTCGCGGACAGGTAGCCGAGGACGTCGACGCAGGACTGGGGGTCGCCCTTCTGGCGCAGCCACGTGACGGCGTAGGCCATCTGCGAGATGATGCTGTCGCCGGTGCCGGTCAGCGCGGGCTGCGAGTAGACGATGCTGCTGTTGGCGGCATTGCTGCTGCTGCTCGGGGTGTCGTGGCGGTCCTTGCGCGGGGTCAGGCTGCCGGCGCCGGCGGCGACAGAGGTGGTCGAGCCGACCGAGGGCGACGGCGATGGTGGAGCGAGCGAGCGTTTGGTGCCTGCGCCGGAGCCGAGCTTAGAGGCAGCCGCCGACATGCTGCTCAGGAAGGACGCATGTTGCCGATCGAATCCGTTTGACATGTTGTCGGCGTTCATCCACGATTTGTTGCCCTTTGTCGGTAGCAGTGAATCTCTTTGACGCTGGACTGCAGGAGGTGCCGATGGTGGTGTTGAAGGTTGCTTTGTTGCGCCGGCGAAGATGAGTGGACCGGTGGCGGGTCCATTGGCACTGTTCCAATTGGCGGCGGCACAATGGCAGGGGTGGCGTTTACAGGGTTCAATACAGGGAATGACATATTGCAACCAGATAGATTGGTTTCTAATAATTGAGAGTATGAAAATGCGGTTTGAGATTGTGAACATGATGGATGGATGGAGTTTTACAAAAGCGATAGAAAAGAAAACATAGAAATGCAAAAACTAGGCACCTTCAGTGCCTTGAGCTGTTCTCATTTTTCTTTTTTCCCTACTGCGTGCTGCGTGGTCAAGGCGGTTCATGACATAATGTTTTGTCCGAGGCAACGCCGTTCCGGTCTCAAGAGATGTTAGGTAAGAGAGGGTCACGAGATTCGCGGAATTACAAAGTCTATAAACAATGTGGTAATTCCATCAATACGGCTGCCTCGGCTTGCCCTTCCCCCGGCGGAGGAGAACAGCGGGCTCACTCGCTTGTCGCTCGCATCCCGACGCCTAAAACATGAACCTCTACCATACCGACGTCACCAATCCCTAACATAACCCCCATCTGTTGTTGAAAACCGGAAAAACCACAGTCCTTACTCCGGGCCAAACACCCAACGCTGCCACATGATGGGGCCCATGTGAGCCACAACTCGGCATCCAAGCGCATCACATGTCGGAACGCAAAGTATTCAGGCGGGCACCGGCAGGGCGCGCCACACAAGACATGTTTTGCCCGAGTGCATGGCCGAAAACATGGTCATTAGATAAAAAGTCCTATCGCATTCGCCGTCCCGCGTACCCAGCACAGCAGGGCGAAATTAGGCGCTGGGCTGATTCTGCTGTTGCTGGAGGTACTGGTAGGCGCCGTAGCCGATCAGACCGCCGATGAGGATGATGGCGTAGAGGCCGACGCCGAAGCCGGCCGAGTCGTTGTTGGCAGCCGGGGCAACGGCGCCGGGAAGGGGGGTCTTGGGCTTGGGGTCGTTGGGCTATGCGACGCGTCAGCAAATCGTGATTCCGCCTCCAGTATCCTTCGTTACTGCAGTAAGGGTGCTTACGTTGCGCTTCAGAGTGCCAACCTTGAGCTGCTCGAGCGTCTCGCGGGCCTCGTCGCTGTGACCGACATCCTCGAAGGCCTCGGTGGCATCCTGACCGCCGACGTCGAGAAGAACCTCCTCGCCACCACTATTCGGAAAACAGCCGGATTAGCACGTGTTGTGGTGGTGGTATCGCAGGTCGGCCAATGCCGGGGAACGGGCAAACCACCCCATCCCGGAACATGATATGCGGCCGACCGACAGCTTGAAAAGGCGGGAACGGCACTTACGGGTGCTCGTCGACAAACTTGCCCACGTCATAAATCACATCGTGGATGACCATGTACAGATCCTTCTTGGTGTTGTGCTCGGCCACATCCTGGTAGGTAAGCTCGAGGGAGGCCATCTTGATTGTAGTTGTCGGCGTGGAAGTTATCGTCTTCGAAAACGGCGGATGTTTTATTTTTCTTCTGGACAGCTGTTCCGTTAGCACGGCACACGCAAGCGCATCCGCGGACCGGCGCGGCTGGAAGCAATTGGGCCGGGTGACTTACCAGACTTTCGGAGACTTGGGCACGACCGGAGAGTATGAGATCGGGGTGACGTCGGGCAGGTTGAAGACAGTTGTCGGAAGAAAGGGGGCAGTCAGAAAAAAAGATCAAGGTCCCGACCCGGGTAACTTTGGAGAACGGGCCCGGACGGGGCAGGCGGCAATGGGTGACTTTGCGAGGGCCCCTGGCTCAACGACCCACTGAATTGGCGAAACCGAAAGAAGAGTCCCACTTGGATTGCCGGAGTGGCCAATTGAGAGTGACCAAAATCATGCACGCCAGCTTGTGATTCGTCCACCTTGGTATGGTCCGATTCGGAGACTGCGGTATCCTCGGGGCCCGAGCAGGGGCTTAATGGGAGGATGGGAAAGGGATGGCTTCTGCTGTTCACCTGGAAAGGACATCCATGAACAATCTGTGGTGGGTTTGTTGGGATCCCGCTTTCTCCGCGATAGGTACGGGAGCGGCGACCGTTTTCCGGCATTGGGGTGATCCCGTTTCATGCCCACACCCACCCGCACCGGCCTTTGAAGCGGCGGCTTTGAGATGCGGCCCCAACCCACACCGCCTTGTGAGGTCCGCCACGTTATCGGATGCGTTTGTCGGGAACTCGCGCCGAAGCCGAAATGGCGAAATCCCGCATGATGCTGCAGCGACCTAACTGAACGGATGTGGATAAGCTGCCCGAGCTTATGCTTATCTTGAAGGCCGTAGCCAGTATTTTTTTCACGTTACAACGCAGGTGGGTGGGATTGCTGCATTGTCATGCTGATATTGGCCCTGCGTGACAGAGCGACGGAGTACAATCTACCTGGTGCACCCCATAGTAAGCCTAGGAGAAGCGCAGTTTACCTCCTCGCAGCCCCACTACCAATATCCTGCCCCAGCCTGTAGCTCGCTACCTTATCCCACTCGATCTTCTGCCTCGTGACGGGGAGCTGTCTCCTCAGCGCCTTGAACGCGCCCTCACTAAGGCTCGTAAAACTCCGGTTCAGCTCCTCCTGGTACTTGCGCTCCCCGGCCGAGATTTCCTTGGCGATGCCCGCGCCGGTCCCGGACGACACGGATGCCGTCGAAGACTTGTCGGTCAGGAGACGCACGTTGCCGTCCTCGTAATAGTGCACGTCGACCTTGATGGAGCCTTCGAGGGCGTTCGAGGCAACGTCGAAGATGTAGTGAGAGCGCCAGCGTCCGTTCCTGTGAGCACGCACGGTTAGGAGAGGGAAAGGGGCACGGGGTGGAAGGAGGCGGTGCATACCAGAAATTGTTCGGGCTGTACTTGTTTGCGACGATGACGATGGCGACCTTGGAGCCGTTGTCTATCGGATAGGCGCCATAGGCCGCATTGACAAAGTGCTCGTTCACGTACGCCGAGAGGTTCTTTAGTATCGATTTGCTGCAATCGTAGTGTTAGTGTTTGTATGTGATATTCCCTGACTTATTAACCCCTTACGCTAAGTCCACGCCTTCGCCGTCTACAACGTAGCTCTCGACTGCGCTGGCTTTCTGTGTAGCGTGATCGAACGCGAAACTGCACGAGCTCTCGATGTCGTAGTAGCGGTCGTCGCCCAACGCGCTGTGCGAGCTGACGATAACCGGCTGGCTGCTCCCCGGGAGCTTGACTGTCGTAAACTGCTCCTCGTTGTATTTTTGGAAGGCCGGCCCGAGTTCATTAACGAGGTTCGGGGTCGAGATAGTCAGGGCTTTGATGTCTGCAGGGCGGGTTAGGCCAGGGTAGGAGGATAGGTTCGAGGGGGGAGTGCGTGCCTGCGAGGACATCGGCGAGCTTGAGAGTATATTTGTTAGCGTGGGATCTTGAGCCGTCCGTTGCGCGGCGGCGAGGTTGGGCAGCTTACCTCTCCAGGCGGAGCTCCCTCCACGAAGGAGGACACAATTTCCCTGGGGGATGACATGACTCCTCGGTGGAGCGGTCGAGTGTCTTCGGGGTAAGTCGGTATCTGTTGGAAACGGCCAAGATCCTCGCGCAGTCAGTTGTTACTCCGGGCCGGGTGGTTTACTGGAGTTGTACTGTGTAACGGTGGGCGCGCTGTTGATGAAACCAAGGGGTGCGGGGCAGAAGTGGGATGGTTGCAAGCTAGCGCCAAGACAGAGACAACAGGGGTAAAAACCTCCCTCGAGTTCGTCTCATCCAGTCACTTAAAATCTTCTGTCAACTTGTTAACGTACCTAACAAAAAGGAAGAGTACGGATATTCAACGGCTTTGATGGCTACTATTCATGTTAAGCTGATACAAGAGAAAATTCACGAGCTATGTCGCTACGATGCGCCCGTTCGCCTCTCAACGCCTGCCTCGCCCGCTCTGATGCGATGCTCGAGAACCACCGACATCGACTCTAAGTAATCCATGATATCCAACTTAATAATCCAATACTTTCTTGATATTGTCATATATCCCTGTTGAAGTTAGCACAGCTCAAGTACTGTTCGAATCTCAACACTTACTGGCAACATCCGGCGCATTCAACGCCTCGTACAACAACGGAGTGTGTATGCTGAACCCAGCAACCCGAGCAACGGGCGCCTCCAACCTGACAAACGTTTCGGGGTCTTCCTGGACCGCCGCGGCGACCTCGGCGCCGACACCAGCGTTGATCATAGCCTCGTGAACAACGAGACACCGCCCCGTCTTGCGGACGCTCTTGAACACGGTCTCCTTGTCCCACGGGTAAATGGTCCTCAGGTCGATAAGCTCGACCGATATGCCCAGATCCTTCTCAGCCTGTTTGAGCGCCGCCTCGCACTTGTACAGAGGCTGGCCGTACGACACGATGGTGACGTCGGAGCCCTCCTTCAACACCTCCGCCTTCGACAACGGGAGGGTGTACGACGCGGTCGGGACCTGCTCGACCGCCGCCCGGTACAGAATCTTGGGCTCCATAAACACGCAGGGGTCGTTGCTGCGGATGGCCGAGAGCAGCAGCCCCTTCGCTTGAAGCGGCGACCGGGGCATGATGACACGCAGCCCGGGGATGTGGGTGAACAAGCTCTCGGGAGACTGCGAATGGTACAGGGCGCCGTGGCCGACGCCGCCGCAAGGCATCCTGACGGTGAGGCCGCCCGAGCTGCGGCCGCACGCGCCGTCGCGGTAGCGGAATTTAGCGGCCTCGTTGACCAGCTGGTCAAAGGCCGGGTAGACGTAATCGGCGAACTGGATCTCGGCCACGGGCCGCATGCCCTCGGCCGCAACGCCGATGGCGAAGCCCATGATCCCCTGCTCCGTCAGCGGCGTGTTGAACACCCGGTCGCCCCCGTACGTCTCGGCCAGCTTGCCCGTGCAGCGGAAGACGCCGCCGAACGCGACGTCCTCGCCGAAGATCATGACCGACTCGTCCTCGGCGAGCGCGATGGATAGTGCGTCGTTGACCGCCTGGAAGAGGTTCATGCGCTTGGTCGTGCCATTGCGCACTTCGGGTGGCAGCTCTGGGTTGGCCAACGCTGATTGTGACGAGTGGGAGAGTAGGGGTGTTGTTGAGTAGTCGGTCGGGAGGTTGAGCTTCGCATTGGGTGGGTGTGTCGAGTAGTACCGTCGCCGAGAGGCCACAAGCGCGGGAGCAGACGGTGCGAGAGGCGATCCTCGTGCCAATGCCCTCGACAGGGCGCGGAGTGATGAACCCTTCATTGTGTGTGTCTATGTGAAGTCTAGATCCCGTCGCCTCTGTCTGGTGTTTCTAGAGAGCGGTCTCTGTACATGGTGAGAACAAAGTCGGTGGGCACAGGAGACGAGCGGCAGACGATGGAAGGACTGGGTTGGGGCGGATGACGGCGGCGTCGGCTTGCGGCGGCTTTGGTAGGGATCTGGCAATCGCGGGGCCCCGCAAAGTCCCAATTCGCCAGGAACGCACTTGGGGAAGTGCCCTTGCGCTAGGACAGGGGTCGAAGCCCAAGGTTTTGGGATGGAAGAAAGTTGAGATGAACGTCGGTTTGACACAAGAGGTAAGTTTTTGGTGAATTAGAAAACAGTGCCGACATAACATCAAAAAATGGCCAATTCGAGACTTGTTTCTCAATTCCTCTCCCGATGACGTCTGCGCAACGCTCTTGGCGCCTCCTGACCCTTGTCAGATAGCGTTGCCCTGCCAACAATCACGCATTCTTTCCATGCACAGGATCAAGGCACAGCGCCAACACGAGGTCGCAGCGACCCAGGAATCGAATTGGGAAGAGATCTTGCCTGTGACAATTATTCCAATCTTTATCTCCAAAATTCCTGCGTAACCACAATTCCGGATAACCACCTGCGGCCGACCACACCATGCATTCCTAACCCACCACATCCGATCACACAACGTCCCACATTCCATCACAACCCGCAGATCACACACAAGTGAACCTAGCTAGCCAGAAAGAACAGAGAAAAGAAAACCCCCCAAAAAATGCCCCGCAACCCCTCCGCAACCCGCCCCCCCGACCGGGACCGCGACGCCCGCCGCGAGCGCCGCCACCACCGGCGCAACTCGTCCTTGGCGCCCGACGACGACGACCTGCAACAGCAGCACCAGCGGCGGCGGCGACGGCGGCCCAGCACAGCGCGGGCGGGCGGTGCCGACGACCGGAGCTCGGAAGAGGGCGGCGGCGGCGGCGGCGGTGGTGGTGGTGGTGGTGGTGGTGGGGTGTTGTCGGCGGCGGCGCTGGCGAGGCTGAATCGCGCGAATGGGTCGGCGCCGCCGTTGGCGATGCCTGGGGGTGGTGGTGGTGGTGGGAGGGAGAGGGTGAGGGAGAGGGAAAGGGAACGGGAGAGGGAGAGAGAACGGGAGGTGGAGAGGGAGAGGGAGTTGAGGAGGGAGAGACGGAGGGAGCAGGATAGGGAGAGGGAGCGGGAGAGGAATCGGATGAGGGATCGGAGTCGCGGGTATGAGGTTGTGGATGTCTCGCCGCCGGGGGAGAGTGAGAGGTATGATGTGGTGGATGTGTCGCCGGTGAAGGAGGGGAGGGGGCATAGGGGGCCTGAGAGGGATAAGAGGAGGAGTGCTCGGGTGGTGAGCGGGCCGGTGCTGGAGGAGGGGAGAGGAGGTGGTAGCGGCGGTGGTGGTGGGAGAGGGTGGACCGGGTTGAGGGGTGGTGGACGAGGGAGTGATGATAGTATGGGGACCGAGAAAGAGCCGTTATGGAACGGGAAACCGGCGCCGTGGTACAAGCAGAAGAAAAAGCTATGTAGGTTGCTTTTGTCCGAGGAGGAAGTGGGTTACGCTGACAACGGCAGGGATCCTCATCGGTGTCTGCACCGTGCTGCTTATTATCATCATCATCGTGGCGGCTGTGGTGGTCCCCAACTCTGGCGGGGATGACAAAAAGCGCGATGGAGGTGGAAGCAGCAGCGACAGCGAGAGCGGCCTCGGAGGGGTATCACCGGACAGTATACCAAAAGGGGCCCCGTCTTGGCTGAACCCATTCGTATGGGAGGACACAGCCGACTTCAACCTCACTTACACCGACGAAACGGTCGGCGGTCTGCCCCTCATGGGCCTCGACACGGAGTGGGATGATTCTGCAAAAGCCAACGACCATGTGCCAGCATTGGACAAGCCATGGGGCGACTACGCCAAGCGGCCAGCACGAGGCGTCAATGTGGGCGGCTGGCTCTCGCTCGAGCCATTCATCACGCCCTCTCTCTTCAACTACGATCTCCGTATGGGCATCGTCGATGAGTACACCCTCTGCAAATACCTAGCCAAACGATGCGAGAGCGTCCTCGAGAAGCACTACGCTACTTTTGTGACGGAGGACACCTTCAAGGAGATCCGAGATGCCGGGCTCGACCACGTCCGCATCCCCTTCTCCTACTGGGCCGTGGAGGTCTACGACGGCGACCCCTACGTCTTCCGCACCTCATGGCGCTACCTACTCCGAGCCATCGAGTGGTGCCGCCGCTACGGCCTCCGCGTCAACCTCGACGTGCACGGCCTGCCCGGCAGCCAGAACGGTTGGAACCACAGCGGCCGACTCGGTCCCATCAACTGGCTGAACGGTACCGACGGCGCCCTCTGGGGTAAGCGCGCCCTGGAGTTCCACGACAGCCTCTCCAAATTCTTCGCCCAGCCGCGCTACAAGAACATCATCAGCCACTACGGTCTAGCCAACGAGCCCAAGATGACCTTCCTCGACTCGCAGGAGGTCCTCCAATGGACGACGGACGCGCACGCTCTCGTACGCAAGAACGGTGTATCAGACGCCATCGTGGTCTTCGGCGACGGCTTCCGCGGCCTGCACAACTGGCAGGGCGAGCTGCAGGACCTCGACCGGGCGGCGCTCGACGTGCACCAGTACGTCATCTTCAACACAGGCCAGATCGTCTTTAACCACACGGCCAAGGTGCGCTACGCGTGCGAGGGCTGGACCGAGCAGACCCTCCAGAGCATGGATCGCAGCACCGGCTTCGGCCCCACCCTCGTCGCCGAGTGGTCCCAGGCCGACACCCGACTGCGCCAAGCACCTGACGAACGTGGGCTGAGAGAACCGCTGGACGGGCTCGTTGATAACCCCCGACGGGAGTGGGGATGTGACCCACCCCGCGCTGTCCGGCGCAGGATAACTCGTGCAGTTGTGACGAGGCCAATGCGCCGGTGAGCGAGTGGAGTGACTCGTATAAACAGTTCCTGAGGATGTTTGCCGAGGCGCAGATGTCGAGTTTTGAGAAGGGTTGGGGGTGGTTTTACTGGGTTTGGGATACCGAGGATGCGTAAGTTTCTCCTCTCTCCTTTCTCCTTTCTAGTTGTTGTACCACTCTGGGGATATTGTTGCCGTTTGAGATTGGTGTTGCTAACGGGCGTTGTCAACAGACCACAATGGAGCTACAAAAAGGGGCTCGCGGCCGGTGTCCTCCCGGCCAAGGCATACGAGAGGAGCTTTGACTGCGATTTGTCAGACATTCCCAGCTTCTCGGATCTGCCCGAGACATACTAGTGCATAAAGAGAAGATGGACGGTTTATTTAGGGGATTCCGGCGTTTCGGATTTGCAGCATGTTTGGTTGTTTTATAAAGTTGGACAGCATCGTGGGGGCATGCCATGAGTGATGTTTGGGATACCAGGGGGCGGGGTTGGGGGGGGTTGATTTACATCGTACTGTGAACTTAGAACACGAAGAAGCAAGCCATATTGGAACTTAGAACACGCAGTTGGACATCAAGCGCAAGTAGAGTGTACAGTTACTGTGTACAGACGGCTCCAGAAACTGTATTATAATATCTCCTCGCAGTGCTTTCTAATACCGGAACAAACTAAAAAGGAACCATGCCGCCTCTTTTTCTTGAGACGGGCTGTCAGGCTCGGCCGGGAACACGGCGGGAATGCTAGCTTCCTTTCGACCAACCGCCATTTCCAACCAAAAACCCCCTGGACAGAAGGATGTTGCACTAGGCTCGGCCAAGATGAGATGATGGCGAACCGCGAGAGCAAGCCGCGAGAGCAAGCAACGGGCCGTCGTGATCCATGTACGCCATGTCAAACAAAACCAATCGCGCATCTTCGCGCTCGCGGATGTAGTTATTTGCTTACATATTGTATCCTCCATACCCTATACTTTGTACTTGGTAGGGCGTGTGAAAATACAATAGGGAATAGGGCTGCTGGGATGAGTCCGGGGACAACTCGGGAACTTATCCCCGAGGTGCCTCTTCAAGCCACCCTGCCACCCACAAGCAAACACGGGGGATGGTAAGGATGGCAATGCCGTGCCCGCTGCTACAACCGAGAGCCGGGAGCCATGTGCCGCCCAAGCGGGTCTCCACAGCCGACAACCTCCGCTCAACCCCGTTTTCTCCTCCCACAACGCTTCGTCATTGGTGCGCTGTCGTTTCGTTAGGGTCATCAATGTCCCTCATCTCGAAGTTTGCTAATCATTCATTGCATAAGCCATGTTGGATACGCGAAGGCAGCCGTACTGTGTAGTGGTTGCGGTTAGTCAGGCCGTCTGGCAGTGAATGGGAAAGCCTTGTTCCCTCCAACGCCTTCTCGTTCCACTTGTGGTCCTTGATTTTGATGCTGGCCTTGCCCCCAGACGGGCGTGGGCGACCCAGTTTCCCCGGCCCCCTGGCTTCAATGACACCCTCCTTCAAGGTTCGATGCTGCTTTGACGCAGTCGCATCCGCCGCTTTAAAATTGATGGCTCCATCGAGCAGAGTTTTGGAAGAGTGTTAACCCCAGAATGGAACCAACAGCCCCCACGAAGGCCCTGTCATCCGCACTCGGAGATCGAGGTCCAGAGTGGCCAAGAGCCGTTAATAAACGTCATGGCATCCCCGTCTTCTGTCCATCGTACATAGCTTTGCTGGCCCATCGTCATTCAACATTGACAACATTGTGTGCCCGTAACCCGACGTGAGTGACGCTCTACACCGAGTGACTCAAGTGAAGCCCAAGGACCCATCAGACCCCCATCATAACCCTCCTCTACATCAACCTCCAGCCACTTCTCGGCTCGAGATCTCCCGAGGCCACCTACCCACCCAACTCGCGTATCATCCACCAAGCAAGCCAGGTCAGGAACCCCTAAACAAACAAAAACAATACACACAAAAAAAGAAAATGGACGAGAAGCCCCCCCGGCCCACCTCCGGGCACGGGAGCGAGAACGCCAGCCTCGCCCCCTCGGAGAGCGCAACAGCAACCGACCCCGAGAAAACCAACAGCAGGACCTTCGAGCCCATCCGGCCCGGCAACACGGCCGCCCGCCCCGCCTCACACAATGGCGGCACCCGCCGGCTCAGCGCCGAGACGATCGAAACCCTCCGGCGCGAGCGCTCCAACAACGGCTGGGGGTGCGACGACATCGAGGCTGATGCTGCGGGCGGCACCATCGCGCCGTATAACCACCCCGGGGGTAAGATGAAGAAGAAGGGTGGTGGTGGTGGTGAGAGTGGTGGTGGCAGTAGTAGTAGTACTGATGGTGCCGGTGATGGCGGTGCGGATGCGGGTGTTGTTGTGGATCCGTTCGAGGTTGGCTGGGAGGGAGGGGATAGTGATCCGTTGTGTCCGAGGAGTTTTCCGACGTGGCGGAAGTGGTTGATTATTGCGATTACGAGCGTGGGGTCGTTTTGCGTGTAAGTTGGTTCTGGTTTCTTGTTTGCGCCTCCTCTCTCGGTGGGCTTTTTGCCTGGGTATGATGGGGAGGGAGGGGATAGGGGGTGGTGGGATGGAGCAGAAGCGCTGACTCAGGGGATTGAATCAAGAACGAACGCGTCGGCATCATACACGGCGACGTATGCTCAGATGAACGAGGAGTTCGACAACTCACGGCTGGTGGCGACGCTGGGTTTGTCGACATTCGTGCTGGGGATTGCCTTGGGTCCGTTCTGGTCGCCGTTGGCCGAGTTCTACGGCCGGCGGCCGATTTATCTCTGCTCTTTCGCCGGGTTCATCATCTGGCTGGTTCCGTCGGCGGTGGCGAAGAACATCGAGACCATGATCGTGTCACGCTTCTTCCAGGGGTTGGCAGGGAGTGCGTTCTTGTCTGTCTCTGGAGGGACGGTGGGAGATTTGTTCACCCGCGACACCATGCTTGCGCCCATGGCGATTTTTGCCCTTGCGCCTTTTGTTGGGCCGTCGACGGGCCCGCTGGTCGGGGGGCTGATCAACACCTACATCAACTGGCGCTGGACGCATTATGTGTTGTTGATTTGGGCCAGCGTCTTGTTACTTACCATTACGTTGTTCGTACCGGAGACTTATCGTGAGTGCTTCTGTTTTGCTTTGACTGACGCTGGGGGGGAAATGCTGACTTGGGCGCTTAGATCCGGTGCTACTCAAAAAGAAGGCACAAAATCTCCGGAAAACGACCGGCGACGACAGGTGGCGCGCGCCTCTTGAGAAATCCACCAAGTCTGTTTCCAAGACGGTCGCTTACTCGCTGCTCCGTCCCTTCCAAATCCTCATCTTCGAGCCCATGGCCGTGGTGCTCAACATCTATACGGCTGTTCTCCTCGGTCTACTCTACCTTTTCTTCGGCGCCTTCCCGCTCATCTTCCGCACGAACCATGGTTTCAACCTCTGGCAGGTTGGTCTGACCTTCATGGGCCTGTTAGTATCCATGATCCTCGCTTGCTTGAGCACCCCTCTCTGGACCAGGCTCCGGCACAACATGGTGGCGAAGCGGTTCAAGGAGACGGGCGTGCTCAAAGACGAGCCCGAAGACCAGCTGCCGCCTGTCATATTCGGCGCCCCGCTGATCACCGGGGGTTTGTTCTGGTTCGGCTTTACGACATACCCCGAGGTACACTGGATCGTGCCTATCATCGGTTCCAGCGTGTTTGGTCTTGGGTGAGTGCAAATCTACTTGATGCTTTCTTTTGGTTTGCGTTGAGTCTCTCATCGGCTGCTTTCTCCTCCGAATTACGGGTAAGAATGCAAAAGGAAGTGAACCTTTTTGGCTTTCTTTTTTTTATGATAAGCTTCAACCACGGCAGTGGCACTCGACGTGCTGGACGGTGGATAAGTCTTAGAGGGGACCCCAGCATCCCGAAGTACAACGACAGTGCGCTTGACAGTAGCCATGTCGATCTGCTCTTACGCCACCGCCTTGATTCGTTACTCTGTAGTCATGACTTTGTCAAGATGTTCCAGAGCTGCCGCATCCTAGCCTCTTTCTTTCGATCTTGCATATCCGAAGCATGCGGTCATGTCGTTACCCGTCGCTAACCGTGGTTTGTTTCTCAGGATGTCGTTCGCTTTTACGGGAGTCTTCACTTTTCTTGTGAGTGTAACCCATCCCCGTGGAGCACAAACGTGCCCGCGGCCGGCGGCTCTTGATCCGGTGCAACAGCATTGGGTGAAATAGGCAAAAGGTGTGCTGATACGAGCTCGTGGCTGTCTAGGTCGACGCATACCCACGGTACGCAGCCAGTGCCCTGGCATCCAATGCCTTGGTCAGGTGCTCCTTCGCAGGTAAGCTTCCCCTCTGAGTGTTTCATACCTCAACTAGGCCTCCTGCAGCACTGGTCGGTCCGGATACAGGCTGACGATGCCTAGCGGCATTCCCACTGTTTGGTATCCAGATGTACGAGGCCCTTGGGTATCAGTGGGCCACTGGGCTCGTGGCCTTTGTGACGCTCGCCTTGATGCCCTTCCCTTACATCTTCTTCCGGTACGGCAAGAGGATACGAGCCAGAAGCAGATATGCGACCACCACATAAAACGATGGGGGGACATCAAGGTGGAGGCGAGGGAACACCCGTCTGAAACCAGCCCAATGGTTGAAATAGACGTGTCCAGTGTTGCAGCGAGCTCGGCTGTGATCTGCCGTGAACGCGTCGGCAGCAGATCTGCACCGGGGAGCAGGCCATTTCAACCGGCGGCAAGGCGCTGGTGGCTGACTCCATCGATCTCTTCACGCTGGCCATGCATCACTCCTCGACACGGCCTGCCCACTCTCAGCGAGTCTTAACGGCGCACAACCCCGCTTGATGGATCTTGTCTTATTTGGCGGAGTCAGATGTCAGCCCGGGCCCGATCTACTGGATGCCACGGGAGACCAGATGTCAGGGGTCAGGGTGTGAAGGACAGGTAGTAGGGGAATGGGAACTAGACGGAAACACTCGACTCCGGATTCTGGCCCCTGCGGGTTGGCTGGCTGGCGATGCCACCGCAGGTAGGGGGTGGGGTGGCCATTGTGGTGGCGGAGAGGCCTCTATGTCGTGCGTCTTTTGGGGAGGCTTGACGGCATACTGCTTCTGGGTCACAACCTGTTTTGGACAAGCCACTAGGCACCCTGCGCAAGACCCTCATTCGGCCACGGCGGACGTACCCGTTGGCGCAGGCCGTGGCCCAGGATAAGCCGAGGTTGAAGAGAGACAGAGCTCGGCGGTCCGATGATCTCCCAGGCAAGGCTGCCGACCACGAACTGTGCGCATCATGAGAGGAGCTATTAAACCTATTGTATTTTATTTTATTTTAATGATATACCATGTTCTATAAAGCGGGGCTTCAATGTTGGATTCTGCAAACCTTGAGCTCATAAATCGAGGAAGAAGTCTGTGTTGGACCTCGGCTGGCCATCAAGGTACAGAAGCAAGTCCCATCCATTGATATTGGTCAGAAAGGTTAGATGTACCTTGCCATGAGAGGGTGATGGCTGAAAAAAGGCTGGCTGATGGCGACCTAAGACAGGTAGGTTTTGTCCGAGCTGACACGAACAGAACTCACCGTCAAAGCGGGCTTCCAAGAACAGGAATAATGCCAGTTTCCCAGTCTTGGTGTTTTGGTGTGACAGGTACGTACTTTCAGCCCTCAAGTTGGGTTTTTGTTGGAGACACTTGCAGATCCGCGGTCGGGGTTCGGTTGGGGTTGCGGGCCGGGGTGGCATTCCGTGAACCCTGCGGCGACGGCGGCACGGCTGGGCGGCCACATGCAAAAATGATGCAAAGGATTCTATCGGGTAATTGTTCCAACTACTTGCTCCATGCTTCCTGTCACCGACAGGTATGCATACCACAAAACGAGGGAGTCACCAATTAGGAGACAGTTCTCCGACAAGTCAAGGGCCGCCGTATCCACTGCCGAGCCGCATGCGATGGAGGAAAAAGACTGGGCTGGACCGTCAAGGCCGAAATCGATTGAAAAGGTGAAGAATTGATTTGATGATGTGCTTCTTGGGGCCGAGATTGCAAGGGTAGAGAAAAACCCCGCAATTGGCGGGAAGAAGGAACGAGCTTTAGCTCGGCTTATGCCCACCGCAGCTGGGAAAAACTACTGCACACCGACTCCGAGTCAACCTCAGGAACCCATGACCTTATTCCAGGAAAAGAGCACCACACCAAATCCCTAGACCCACGCCTAGCGTACCTTATCTCTCTCTCCACCACTGCCATGCAAACCACCGGGTATGCCTAGTCGGGAGTGCATTGAGTTCGGATTACACTAGTTACTGTTTGCAGCGCCGTCTGATTTTCACCCCACCTCGTCTCGGTCCGCCTCTATCACACCCATTTGCACTCTTGCCTGTTTTGCTTTTCTCAAACTAAACCCAGAAACTCGGACCTTCGCCATATTGCGACTCGGCGACGACAAGCTCTTTGCATTGCGCCCGCCGGAAGCGAAGCGCGGAGGTTGCGACAATCGCGGGAGAGGAAGAAAAACGGTCCGGAAGAGGAGGAGGAGGAAAGCCGCGGGGATGTTGGCGAGAGAGACGTAGGGAGTACGAACCACACTCTCGATCCGGCCTCGCAAATCGTTGAAGGATACCGACGCCTAGCAAAAGCCACCCGCTTCGACGTCCCGCATCCGCACCAATTGCCCACTGGATTATCCTTCTGCGCCGCCTCGAAGAAAGCCCACACCACCTGTTCCCGTCCCCTACCGACGCACTGTCAAGGGCTCACGTAGCCATACCGCCGACGGATAGTTGCAGCTTGAATGCTTCCCTATCACTCCTGTGCGACCCTTACCTACCAGAGCTCGAAAGCTCCCCCGGGCCGCACCCGTGCTTTATCCGCCGCCGCGTGACTCGAGACCGTCCGTCGACGAAACCACACGTACACACATACATCCATCTACCCCAACGGCTCAACTTCCGCCAGTTCCGCCTGGGCGGTGGCCTGTCGCACAACGACACCCTCTGCCAAATTTCCCCGAACCAATTAACAGCATCCCCACGAGAGCCGCTGAGAATACGAGACAGCCGCTGGCCACCGTGTATCGGGCCTCATCAGCTGGCATTGACACCATATCCCATTCATTTTTTTTTGGACCGGCGATCAACACTTCTTATTGCGGGAGGCTACAGTAAAGAGGAACAGCCCAGGAAGCCACAGGAAGCCGTTTCTGCTGCGCCCGGTCTTGTAGAGCCTCTCCGCAACTGTTCGTTGCCGCCCTCGACGCCTTAATTAGATGACCAGTGGGGACTCGCCGTCCACTGAACTTGGCACACTCCTTCTGGGATACTTGCTTGCGTCGCCTCCTTCAGCTACCCCCGGCGCGTGCCCTGACAACCAGAGCGACGTGCAGCGCCAATCACTTGCCGTGGTGGTGCCACCGCTGTGATATTGCTGCAGGGCCCTTCAACGTTAATCCTCTGCTGTTCTTTTCAGATTCCCATTGCGGAAGCGGACCTGGCCTGCGTTGAGCTGGGTGTTCCTGCATTACCGCGCTGTCCGACCAGGTCGGGCCGTATATAAGCTAGGCCGTGATGGCGGAAGACAGTGGGCATTCCCCGCGGGACACTTCGGGCGCCATGTCTGATAGCGAAAACGAGTACGACGAAACGGACCAGCTCGTCAAAGAGGAGGACGAGAAGATGTCAGACCAAAGACTCACTTCGGAAGGCGCCGACACCAGTGCAGAGCCTAAAAAAAAGTACGACCCGAAAGATCCTCTTCGGCCTCGGAGAAAAAAGGCTAGGCGCGCTTGTTTTGCCTGCCAAAGAGCCCACCTTACATGCGGTAAGACTCTACTCTCTATCATCTCTGGTCCCCCGTTGTAGGAGCTTCATCCACTCCTTCCTACTATCACACTCATTCATGCTTGCTTGTTTATGTACCCTCTGAAAAATATGGGTTGCTGATGCCGACCGCTGCGATAGGGGACGAGAGGCCATGCCAGCGATGTATTAAGCGTAATCTCATGGAGAGCTGCCAGGATGGAGTCAGAAAGAAGGCCAAGTATTTACATGACGCGCCCCCCGAGGCATTGAGACCTGTTTTGGGTCCAAACTACAATCCAAATCCAACTCCACGGCAGAATGGCCACCGGCATCCGAGTATTCAGACTTCTGAGGCGTCCTCCAACCAGGGGACCTTCTTCTCCCAATCGCCTGCTACTCAGTTTCCTCTGTTCTCCGCCGCCCAGACGCCAATAGGGAACTTGGCAGAAACTCTTCCGTTTGCAAACCAGCAGTCGCCAACCTCTCCATCCTTCCAGACATCCGGGAATCCACAAATCAGCGGCATGACCGTGCCACAGGTGTCGAGCCCCATGACGAACTTTGGCACTCTACCTTTCGACCCGAGCGATCCGAATATCTACAACTTCAACCTTGAAGGCCTCAACTTCGGTAGTCAATATGGTGCCATGGAATTTGGCATGCTCGGGCACATGTCATCGGGTGCCGCCGAAACACCTCCGGGGGATGCCACTATGGCGCGGTCAGCAAGCGGCAGCCTCGGTTTTGGGCCCGGCGTATTCGGGAATGGCGTTAACCAGTTCGACAATGTCTACGAGGGGAATATTCTGGATGGCTTCCTCGGTCTTGATGCGAATCACAATGGCCTCTACTCCCAAGGTAACCTACAGCATGGCCTTCCCCATGCGTATGCGATTGCCGCTGGGCCAACCAGCATCCAGAGCCCGAGTACCGACACCAATAGCCCGCAGCCGACTCCCCTCGGTTTCGAAGGATCTCCCACGATGGCTACCTTCTCGACAACGCCAGGGAGCAAGCCGGCGAACCAACAGCGGCCCTCTACGAGACAGTCAAATGCCATCGCAAAGCTCGGGCAGCAGTCGGTCTTGGGGAAGCGGCAACGCGACCCCTCTTTCGTCTACGACACAGTGAAGGAACCGTTTGGATATGTCTCAAGTTTCCACAAGCTCTTCATTCTCATCCAAAAACGGTTCACGGCAGCGCACACGTCGCGCATCGCGAAATCCCTGGCCAGCATCCGGCCGTCATTGATGGCGTCTACCAAGAACTTGACAAAACAGGACCTGGTCTTCATGGAGAAATATTTCCAGCGGTCTCTGCTTGAATATGAGGAGTTTATGCACCAATGCTCCAGTCCCACCCTCGCCTGCAGACGGACCGGCGAAGTCGCTATCGTGAACAAAGAGTTCTGCGCGTTGACGGGTTGGACGAAAGATGTGTTGCTTGGGAAAGAGCCAAACCTCAATGTCAACTTGGGCGGCTCTGCATCGGCAAATACCAACTCCAAAGCTCGAGTCGGCCTCGCTACCCCGCGTCTCAAAAGTCTAAACACAGAGTCCGGCGGATCTACAGATGGCCCGCGGCCCGTTTATCTCGCCGAACTCTTGGACCACGAAAGTGTCGTGGAGTTCTACGAAGACTACTCCCAGCTAGCTTTCAACGACAGCCGAGGCCACAAGACACGCAAGTGCCGTCTCCTCAAGTACCGTGCGCCGGACAAGGACGACGGCACAGGGGAGAGCAGCACCGACGGGCAGCTGCCGCAGAAAGATCCTCGTAATAGTATTCTGAGCAACCGCGTTGCAAAGATCGATGGCGAGCACGGGATATCGAAACTTGAACGCGACGGCAAGCTTGAGTGTAGTTACACATGGACCATCAAGCGCGATGTGTTTGATATGCCCATGCTATTCGTCATCAATGTAAGTACGTAGTCGTTTTATTGTCGCGTTAGAGGGCCCGAGCAATCGACTGATGGCATCGCAGTTCCTACCATGTTATTACCGAAGCAACAGCCAGCTAGCTGTCTGACGGAGCCATCGAGGCAACCCAAAGGGGATAGAAGGAAACGCAAAACGGGGCATTGACGGTGTCGGGTAAGGCGTTGGATTCGGATACCTCTGTACATGGTTGTTGGAGGTCTTTTTGGAGGGTATACCAGTCTACCGATTGTGCTGGTGGAATTCAAAACAATGCATCGATTTTCCACCATCCCCCTCGACTCCAAGTTTCGCTTGACAGCTCTGCGCTTTTTAATCTTATCAATGACTAGCCATCCAACCAACGCCTCACCACACCCCTCTAAACCACCTACTTCCCCCCTTCCCCCAACTCATCCGGCCGTATCAACCACCCGCACTCCAACGACCCCCTCAACACCTTGACCCCTTCCCCAGGCACATCCACCTCGACATCCACACCGCTCGGCGCCCACCCCTCGCGCGCCAGGCTGCGCTTAGCCACCTCACAGTCGAACTCAATATCCGCAATCAGCGCCTCCAGCCCGCTGTAGTCCTTCTCCTCGCGGATAAAGCCCGCAATCAGCAGCCGCATCTCCACCCCGTAGAAATCCGCCCCAAACCGGTGCAGCACATGCACCTCGGCCGACCGCACCGTGTTCTTGTAGAACGGGTTGTACCCGATCGACATCACCATCGGGTACACCGCGAACCCGTTGCCGCCCCGCTGTCGCTGCTCCCCAGCCCCACCCCCATCCTCGCCTGGCGCCGCTGCCGCTGCCGCTGCCGCTGCCGCTGCGGCGGCGGAAGAGGTGAGCGAGTCCGGGTGGGAGGCGGGCAGGTTGAGCGAGGCCCACCCGAAGTAGACGCCTGAGGGGATGGAGGAGATCCAGGGGGTTTGGGCGTCGTCGACGGGCAGGTTGGCGGTGGGGATCCCGAGCTCTTTGGACCCGCGCCCGAAACCGCTTATTACGAGGCCGGACATGCGGAAGGGGTAGGGGGGCGCGGGGCCGGAGGGGTCGCCGATGAGGGGGGGGCGGTTGGGGGGTTGGTGCTGCCATGTTGGGGGGTGTTTTTTTTTTAGTGTTGTTTTGTGTTTTGGTCTTTCTGGGTTGGGTTGCTAAATGGGAGTGAGAGATGTCGATGGTGGTGAGAAGATTGTGAGGCTGGTTCAGGGCTGAAGGTGAGGGAGTCAGCTGGTCCCGGTCGCTGACACACCGTGGAACTGGGATGGAAACGGGGTGAATTCCTGTAGCGGCGGGGTAGTGGGGTAGCTGCCAGGGGAAAAGGGTCCAAAGATAAGATAACTGGCGTGCCTGATGGGACGAATTTAAACTACCTCCCTACTTGGGCGGCAGTCTGAGCCTTTTTATATCAGACACGAACGACGTTACCAAGTACAGTCCTGGTCTCCGGGGTTTGGTCGGCTAGTTTAAATGTCCGGTCTTACAGCTACGAGGTTAAGTTCCGTAGATGGCCGCAGTGGTTTGGAATGCAAGAAAGGTGCTGGTTCAGTGATTCCGCGCATGGTCCCCATGTGTTTCATAGATAATTATGGACATACAGGTGGTGTTACACAGCGTCTCGACTCCTCAAGTCCCAAGGCTCGCCTATTCCTCCCCGGGCTGTTCCGGCCGTATGGAGAATGCCTGACTGTCTACACCATAACGTCTTCCCTCTCCCATGCCCGATTAGTCCTTCCACTCCGTCCGGCCCAACCTCACGATGTCGCTCGACTCCAGGACCCAATATTTCGACGGCGCCTTCCCCTCGGCAGCAATCTTCGCAGCGTGCACAGCCGCTCGCGCAATGACCTCACCCTCCTGTCCCAACTTGTCCTGCAGGCCTAGGCCGAACCACCTTCCCAGCGCCCTTGTCGCGCCGATAAGGAGAGGCGCGCCCTGATGCGGGACCTCGCGCTCGGCCAGAATAATTGCCGGCCGGACGATAATCGCCTGCTCAAAGTCCAGCCCCTTGATCGTCTCCTCCACGCCTTTCTTCATCTTGCTGTAGGGCAGGTAGTTGGCGAGCAGACCCCCCGATCCGGCGCTAGAAATGAACACAAAGCTGTGCACGCCGGCCTTCTTTGCGGCTTGCGCGAGCTCCACGTTCAGGTCGTGGTCGATCTTCCACTGGTTGGCGATACCGCCCGCTTGCTGGCGGGTTGTGCCGAGCCCGGAGTAGACCGTTGATGGGGTGGGCTTGATGCCTGCAAGCTTCGCGCCCCATTGGGTGGTGTCAGCTTCGATGGTCGCGTGCAGCGTTGGGCCGGTTGATTTGGGCGCCCGCCGTGAGATGGTGTGCACTGCGCTGATCGAGCTGTCGGCTAGCAGTGTGGCGAGGATGCCGGAACCGATGACGCCGGTGCTACCAAGGACAAGATTTGAGGCCATGTTGCTAGCGAGAAAATATTCGAATCGAGGAGATGAGGTGGGTGTGGGTGGATGTTCAGATCGTAGGAGTAATGTCCGTCAAAATTCCAAGATGCAACTGGGTTGGGTTACGAATAAATAGGTACCCAACAATTAACTAACTAGCGAGAAATGCCGGCGACTTATTGAAACAGCAAATCATTTCAAACGGCGCATGCAGCGAATGCCAGCGAGCGAGGCCAGATTAGATGCCGCATTCGGAGAAGAATCAGGCCGGCTCCTAATCGATTCCGGTGCCCAAGTAGGTTTCAAATGATGTCCTCTGCATCGATGTCGTCATGTTGCTGGGGGCCTGGAAGCATGTGAAGAGCATCGCATCGACCCTAACCCTTATCATTCGAGTGGCGCCCTCTGGCCAAAAAAGCCGAACTTTACAGGGAAGCAAGAAGAAAAGAGAGGTAAATCAAGAGACAGAAAGAGGAAGAAACCAAGTGAAATAAATCAAATAAAAGAAACCGAGATAAATAAATCAAAAGTACACTTTGGGCTTGCGAATGGTTTTCTTATCGTTTCTCTAGTCGAAGGTTTCGTCGACACCCACACTCGGAGTTCGACTTTTTTTGGTCCATGGTGTGAGTGGTTGCCGGGAACACCAAAAAAAAAATCTCGATTGGAATCAACAACCCCTCCATCGCCGCCCCGCATCGAATTACGCCCACCCCTTGAACAGCAGCCCTTCCCGCCATATTCCCTCATAGCCATCACCACAAATCCACCCGACCATGGCCAGCACCTCCAATCCCAGTCCGGGTATGCAAGAGCCCACCATCACTACCCTCCCTTAACCATCCCTTAACACTAACTAACCCACCCTCCCACCAGCAACCTGCCAAGCCAACTTCGAGCAAAGCGTCGCCATATCGCTGCACCTCTGGGAAGCGCTCGGCCTGGCCGTGCAGAACAACTGGGGCGGACCCGACTCGGCCGACAAGCGGGACTGGTTCGCGGGCGCCGTGGTCGAGCTCTTCCCCGACGTGTCGCGGCTCACGCCCGCGCAGCTGCAGAAGAAGAACACCACCGCACAACAGCAGCAGCAACCCCCCACACAACCGACGCAGAGCGCACCAAATGGAAGCGGGAGCGCCGAGGAGCCCGACCAGGCTGATGTTGAGTCGCTGCTGCTGCAGGTGATGCTGGACGAGTTCGAGGTTAACGTGGATGACGACTCGGCGTTCGAGGTGGCGGAGCAGGTGGTGCGGCTGCGCGGGGACTGTTTGAGGGGCAAGTTTGATGAGGTGGAGGCGCTGCGGCGGCGGTGGGAGGGTAAGAAGGGGAACAAGGTTGTCTTTAAGAAGGCGGAGGACCAGGATGATGATACGGATTGGGATACGGATGACGATGAGGAGGATGAGGATGATGATGGTGGGGATGTTGAGATGAACGATGCGCCCGCGCCGCCGAGGAGGGAACGGCAGGAGCCGGAAGTGGATGAGGATGGGTTTACGAAAGTTACGAAAAAGAAGAGGTAGAATAGTTAGGGGTAATAAGTGGTCTGGCGGCCAAGGTTTGGCCCGCTCAGGTATCGTTATTGACTACTTATATACGGTTGGGGGATCAGGGAACCTACAGTTGTTATATGACCAAGAGGTAGGGAAAAAGAAAGCTGATCCAACTCCACTATTACCCCCTTGGAACGACGATACCCGCGCCTCGACCCCGAACGCCGGGAACACAGGAAATTACTCCCAATCCTCCTCGTCGCTGCTGTCATCGCTGCTTTCACCCTTATCGCCGCGTGCCTCCTTCGGACTGTTTGGAGCGTGGCTGGGAACGCCGGATCTAGCCCCAACCACGTCATAACTCGCCTCGCTGTCCGCCTGCGATTTCTCGTCGTTGGACTTTCGTGGCTCTGACGGCTTGAGGGAACTTTGGCCGGCCGCTGGTGGTTGGATTGTGGCCGATGACCCCGTCGAACCTGGCCGTCTTGGGACTCCCGCCCTCTTTCTAGGTCCAACATCGGCCTCATCATCCGACTCTTCATCCGAATCATCCTCGTCGGAGTCCTCATCTGAATCCTCATCTTCCTCGTCGCTCTCCTCGTCACTGTCCTCTGCACCCTTCTTTTTAGCCTCCTCCTTCTTTGTGACCTCCTCAACCTTCTCCTGTTCCTCCTCCTTCCCCTTCCCCTGACTCTTCCCCTCTTTCTCCTCCTCTTTAACCTCTTTCTTAACATCCACCTTGGCCTCCTCCTGTTTCTTTTCCTCCTCCTCATCTGAATCCTCATCCCATCCAACCTCCTCCTCGGCCGCAGCAGCTATTCGTTGAGCGTTAACATGAGCTCAACCGATTTGAATTGGTACTCCTTCCACTTACCCTTGAGCAGATCTTTCCTCCGTGCCTCAGCGGTCTCGATGCCGTGCCTGAGGAAGTAGTATCGCTTCCAGAAATCGGCGTACGGGACCTGGTCGGGCACAAGCTTTTCCATAGTTGACCTCAGCTCGGGGTATTTCTCCAAGTCGCTGCTGATATCCGCCGTCTTCTTATCGATGTCAAACTCCTTCCCCCAAGTCTCAAACTCAGCCCCAGTCCCGTCCTTGCTGAAGCTCTCCGGTGACGTGTGGATGACATGCAGCTGCGCATCGAACCGCGATGTGTGGATCACCCTCTTGCCGTGCGCATCCTTACTCTCAAAGAGCACCCCCGTATTGGCCCGGCTGCTGTCCGCCTGGTCCCCACTCGGAGGGGCGATGGTGATGGCGTCACGGAAGAAGTCCCGAAGGTTGGAACCAAACCGGAGAAGTGCCTCGTCTGCTGCGTCCTCCGCTTGCTGGAGGTCCTTCAGCCGCTTCGCTGCCTCGCCCCGCAACCGAGAGAGCACCGTCTCCGACTCCTGGAGCGCGGCCTCCGAAGACAGGTCCTTGGTTGCCGTGGGCGTCTTGTCGGCATTGTCGCCAGCTTCTCTGGTCGCCTGGTCCGGGGATAGCACTGGCGGGGCGGAGGTGTTTAGAGACAGTCCTCGTGTGCGTTGGATGATGGACTGGCGCAGGTCGGTGAAGCCGCGTGTGGCATCCTGGCCCACGGCCGAGAGCTCCTGTTGGGCCTCGCGGTAAACAGATCCACCCTGGGAGATATAGTAAGCACGGTGGCCGCCACGCGGCCCGAAGCGAAGGAAACACACACCTGCTTCACCACGGTGCCGAAGAAGCCCCCGATCCGGGCACCCCAGGGGCTAGAGGAGAAGGCGCGGTACGCATCTTGAAAATCGTCATTCAAGCTTGGCTGAGGGGCCGGCTTCTTTTCCCCAGACGACGAGGAATCACCCTGTTCCTCTGGGTAAGTTGATTCTTGAATATGATCGTAGGCAATGTCCATCACGACGGTGCCTGTTGCCGACGCTAGGAGATTGGGTAATCGTCCAGCTTCTAATATATTTAGAGTTATCTCGTTTGAGACGGCCAAGTTACATACGCCCAGCGTTGCTGTCGTCCCTCGAGTCTGCAGAGGTTCGATTTAGGTTGGGACAGGGCTCATGGGCATCATGTCGGGTCGCCTGCCGCGGTGCGGAGATGCAGCAACGCGGGGTCCACTGCCAGGCGTAACGCACGGTCCACAAACCGATCGCCCTGTCGGCTTTGGCAGGTCTTGGCAACTTGTCTCGCCCCTAAGTTCCATTGTATCAAGGAAGTTACACATGGTTCACTTTATCTCAGGGGTGCGGAATCGTTCCAGGCTCGAGGATACCAAAATACAAACCTGGAAGTTACTTGTACAGATGCGATACGCTAAAAATCACTCGTTGAATACAGGCAACCACTGGGACGGATCCGATGCGCTGATACCGTAGTGCCAAAGAGCGAGCATGCAACCGAATAAACCCGGCGATCCTGGTCTGACTCAGCGCCGCCCGGATATAACAGCATAAGGCAGGAAAGATGCTCGGGCATCGTGGGTATGGGGATTGAATGCTTTTCAGTCTCTTCTTTGTCGGCATTTGTTCGTGAATTTGAAAAATTACGAAGAATTACCTAGTTGATTCCATTTGCCTCCTGGCAGCCGTGGCAGTTGGTTGGAATCTTGAGTCGTCTGAAGGAAGGGGCTGGATTCGGTCTTGTGGGGCAGATATGCCGTCAATGGCGCACAGACAAGGCCAATTCCCAAGCCTTCCATGAACGCTGACAAATTCGTGGCAGCAATCAACCCACTTTCCGACAAATCCATCTGCCGCTCGGTCTGACCCTTCGCCCGCCCGCCTTTCCGACATCCGGGGTGAACAGCTGTGGTCAGGTGCAAACTCAAGGCAGCCAGGGGCCAGGAAAAAGCCACGACTTTTCCCCATCTCCACCACGCCGCTGTTCCATCGCCACCTCCGACCTTCCACTCGACCAGTCTTTCTTGGCCTGAGGCAACTTCGCCTTGATCCCCCCCGCTGGCTCAACATTTGCGGCTTGCAGTCTTTCCCTTGCACAATCTCCCGTTTCCAGAAAAAGTTGAATTCTCTGACGTCGTCGTCTTGCCCTTGGTACCTTTGTCCAACGTCCGATACCCCGCCTCGCCTCCGGTCTGGGGCTCGGACTTAGCGCCCCATCGCCGTTTTCGCTTGTCGCCCACGCCCTTCAGCGTTTCGTCTGATACAATATCCGTTCTTTCGGTGTTGTCGGCCACTGCAGTTCGTTCTGCGAGAGCGCTTTTCTGAACAACACCTCGCAATACCAGCTCCTTTTCTATTTCATAATCGAGCGCGGTCTAGCGAGTTAGCCAAAATGACGTCGTCACAGAATCCATTGCAGGGCCTCGTTCTGACTCCGCAGCAACAGAGCCTGCTGTTCGCCGCGCTCAATTCCAATCGTCCGAGTGACGCTGCGCAGCCCACCAATGGCTTCAATATGTCGCCGGTCCGGTTTAATGGTTCACCCATCCAAGCCGACGGTCTGTCGAGCTTTCAGAACAGCCCAGACCTTGATTATGAATATGACTTTGCCGGAGCCGATTCCAGTTTTGATTACTACGACGATGCCGGTCAGGCCAAAATGATCGGTGATCTACCTGGCGCGAAGAGGGCGCTCAAGTCGGAGTCCGGCGATGCTGAGTCGCCGGAGAAGAGAAGTCATCCTGATGACGAAGAAGAAGAGGGTCCAGGAGCCAAGCGGCGGGACAGCGAGGAGAAGATGGCAAAGAAGCCAGGCAGGAAAACCTCTCACTACAGAACCGACCTCGGTAGGTTTACCCAACAGGCATGGAACATGAACATAGCAAGACAGTTGCTGATGGACTCTCCAGAAACGGAAAGCCCAGAATCGGAGCAGCGCAGCGGGCGTTTCAGGGAGCGCAAAGAGAAAACACCTGAAAGATTCTAGAAACACAAAGTCCAGGAAGTTGGAGAAGTTGTCCGAGGACGCGAACAATGAGAAAGAGGCACTCCGTGCCCAAGTTGACAAAATGACGGTCGAGTTGAATGAGTACAAGAAGCGATTGTCGATGCTCTCAGGCGGTCGACACCATCCCGCAAGGCCCTGCCTCGAGCCTTTGGCAGTCTTTTCGTCAACAACTTGAACGCACGTCAACTTGGCCAATTTGAGTTCCCCAAGTTCGGCAGTCTCCCGGGTCCTCCCATGAACAAGGCCAAAGAAATCCCCGTCAACACAATCACAACCATCGAAGAAGGGCAGCGCGGACCACCGGAGCCCTAGCGAACACTCGCAGAATGGGGTCAGCCCGGGGGATTCGAGCAGTTACAGCCAGGTCGGTCTGGACTCTCAATCCAAGCAGGACCTGGCGGCTCTCTCCTCGGGGCTCTTCACGCCGCCTCTCAACAACGGCCAAGGCACAAACGGGTCGTCGGTCAGCCTCGACTCACACTACAATATGGGTGGTCCCACGACGACAAGTTCGCCCTCTGCGTCCTCAAACTCTAACATGGGCGGCCCGAATTCTTCTTGTGGAACGTCACCCGAATCATTTGCCCAATCACCAATGGGCTTCAAGCCTCTCGACACCTTGAGTACAATTGGAGAAGAGCAACCCCAGCCTTGGCAATCCGTCGCAGGGTAAGCAGTCCCACTCGGCCGCGAACAGCTAGTCCACGGCGGTGCCCTTAAGGAAGGCATAACTAACATGCTTCAGGTCTCGGTCATTTTGCCAATACAGGCATTGAAGACTTCACGCAATGGCTTCCCCAGAACGACTTCCAGTTTGATCCGGAACTATTCGGCGGCTACCGTGACCCTCAAGAGAACGTTCTGTCGCAGGGCTTTGACGAGGGCTTCTTCAACGACGCAGTGGATATGGATTTTCTCACACCATACAACTTACCGATTCCAAGCCCAGTACCACCCAAGAAGGACCTCATCTCTCAGATCGATGCTGCAAAAGATGCCGACGAATCCACAGCGGATCTGGTACTCAAATGCAACGAAGTCTGGTATGTGCAACTAGCCTTCGACTTGCCATGCAATCTCACTAACAAACCAACAGGGAGAAAATACAGAACTGCCCCAAGGCAAAGGGCGGCGATTTCGACCTGGACGGTCTTTGCGCCGACTTGCAGAAGAAGGCCAAATGCGACGGTACCGGTCCCGTGGTCAGTGAGAAGGACTTCCAGTACGCCATCAAGAAATACATATGCAAGGAGAAACAGGAGGCGGCCAATATCGACGCCTACGCCAAAACGCAGGCACAATCCTAAGTTTGTTGCTCTTGTTTCGGCACCGTTGGATGTATTGTACAACAAATGGGGGTTACTCATAAAGGGCAGGTCGGGTAGCATCGTCCCTGGACCTTCGGTCGACACAATGGAGTTTAACTGGGGAGAAAAACATATGGGGGTAAGGCGCCTAAGACGGCAGGGCTTGGAAACAAGGTCTCGGAATCAAGTGATGCGGCACCGAATGCTGATCTCCAACGAAATCATGGCATGGAGTAATGGGCGGATACCTATTTGAGTGGACTTGCAACGAAACTTCATATACGTTTGTACCCGATAGGGGTTTTCCTTCTTGTTTGGTTGGTCATTTATCATTGGGCGGTTTCGGGAGTTATCGATGAATTTAGTAACGGTGCTCGTTATTTTCGGGCGAGACGTAACAAGTTGGAGTTGGTTTTCCCGGCAAATCCTCAACTCGGCTCCCTCTTGTACTGTCATAATTGGCACGGTTCCTGTCTTTTTTCTTTGGTCTCTCTTCGGACGTGTGTCTTGAGTATCTCGTTCTTCAGTAGCCAGTAGCAAAGAATATGAAATGAAATAACCTCGACTGTGACATGGGGACTTCTGTGATTACTCCAGGAGTTGAGGCGAGTTGCGCCTACGTATATGGGGCTTCGTTGTCGCAGCATCCCCCTACTCTCATCTATCCGCCCCTGATACCAACACCGGCCCTCGGCGTCAATATTTACCCTTACCTCTGACCCGTGGACATTACTGCTAGGCGAAGGAGACTCGTCGTTACGAGTGCTAAAACAAACAAACATCTTCACAGATGGGCACTAGGGCGAAGGGCATAGATAAGCGGCGATGTTTTCTCAGGGGTATCCACAGCGTCAAGAGACGGGCGCCAAACCAACAACTAGACAGATAGACAGACGGATAGATATCCAAACAAGACAGGCGAACAAGCAGCGAAATGGCAAACCAGGCGCGGCTCAAACAAAACCAAACCCAAACTACGCAATGACGGAAGAATATGCTACTCGAAAAAATAATAACAAAAGACTAAGGCCCATAGACTCTGCTCATGCTTTGCTCTTGCTCAATGACGACGACGATGCCATGCATACATGCCCCCAGCCGGAAGGCAACAAAAAGACAAAAACTGGCCCAAACACAGCGCAACAGCCAACTCAGACCAGGGAGAAGGGAGTCCCAAAGCAGGAGCATAATCCTGACTGACTCCCAACCCAGGTACCTTGACTCGAGCCCCTGGTCTGAAGGCCCCGCGTTCAAGCCAAGCAAGGCTTGGTTGGTAACTCGAGCCATATCCATCCCATTCCAACCCTCCTCCTCTCCCACCATACCATACCCTACCCCCGCTGTATATATGGATGTATGTAAATGGCGCCGCTTCGCGTATATGCACCCGC